TGAGAATTTGTAGAAGGAGGATTTTTAGAGTGAGTGTGTTGAGGATGAGAAGAATAGATGGGTTGATGTAGTGGTAGAATGGTAGAGGTATGGATTGATGTGTTGATAGTTTATGGGGGGGTGGGGGGGGGTAGCGAGGGAGGTTGGGGAGGAGGGGAGGGGAGGGGAAGGCGCTTGGGGAAGGTGGAGAGATGGGGGCAAGGAGGGAGAGGGCGGGGGAAGGGGGCAGGGGGGAGGGGGAGAGAGTGCGAGGAGCGGAGAGGCAGCCGGCGGCGCACGTGTTGAGCTGGCGGACAAAAGAGCGGATGTTGTTGTGCTTGAAGTATGTGGGGAGGATGTCACGCGCGAAGCCGTCCGGGTCCGAGATGACAAACGAATCGCCGCGCGATGTCCACGCGATGCAGCGGTCTGTGGCGCGCGGGAAAGGAGGAATAACATGGACGACCGAGTGCAACGGGATGAGTCGTGTGGCCGCGCTGGCCAGCGAGAGGCGCCGGCCGACGGAGGTGCCCTCTCTCGGACGCAGCAGCCCCCGACTCCGCGCCGCCGCCCCGGTCTGGTTTATCCCTTGCGCCGGCCGGGGTGCGACGCAGTAAACTGAAGCTGCGCACCTGTCGTCGTCGCGGAGACGATGTCAAACAGCTTCGTCAGGAACGGCGCCATGTTGGACGAGGCGATCGCCTCGAGCCCGACGCCGCTGCTGGACGCCGCGGGCGCCGCCTCCGCCACAACACCCACCGGCATCAAGAGAGCTTGCACACCGAGCCTTCTCTCTGTTGATTGCCCGCGTCTTTTTTTTTCGGTTTAGGGTCTCGTTCTCCCCGGCGAGAAGAGAAACGCGCGCTGCGTCGAGGTCTCTTGGAGCAGAGCCCCGGCGAGTCCTCGAAAGAGCCCAAATGGGTGGTCCTCGGAGAGGGTACCCTGGGTGGGCGGGGCCTCTACTCGCCACGTACAATTGTAGGGTGCCCAGTCAGTCAGTCAGTGTTACACACGTCCTAGCATGGACGACGGGGCACACGCACTCGCGGAAACACAGGGCATTACACACGAGGCGTTGTGTGCGTTCTCAGGGAAAGGCATCACCACAGACAAAAGTTTAGTCAGAGGGGCAGCGGTGGGGACCCCCACTCACGACCCCGCGAGCGCCTGTAGCGAGCTGTCCATCGCTGCATTGGTTCTCGCCAAGCATGAGCGCACTGGTTTAGTGCGCGCAATGCGCGGGGAGGGCGGCCTAGCCCTCGCTGGCATGGCAAAGAAGGCGTCGGGCGGGCGCCTGTTCTCCAGCGCCTGGCGCCAGGCCGAGCGATCGGCGGCGAGCTCGGGCCACCTCGAGCGGCCGATGTGGAACTTGTCGAGCGCGGTGCGGATGCTGCGCCCAAACGTCATGTTGGGGCACCCGATCGGCCGGCCGTGAGGCACCCACGATGAGAGCATGCGACGAGGTAGGCGATTGAAATCCATCCTGCTGACATGCCCGAGCCAGCCCAGCCGGCGTCGGTCGATGTAGTAGTCGATGAAGTCGAGACCTAGCCTGGCGCAGAGTTCGCCAGTCGTGATGTGGTGCTCCCACACGTGCTTGCGAGTGACACGACACATCGCACGCACGCACTGTGCGTGGAAGACGCGGAGACGGTGGAGGAGGCGCTCGGTGAGCGCCCAGCACTCGCACCCGTAGAGCAGGATGGAGAGGATGAGCGAGGTGTAGACCGCGCGCTTGGCGGCAAACGAGACGTCCCTCGAGCTGAAAAGGCACTTCCGAAGAGCGCCAAAAGCTCGGCCTGCCGACTCGATCCGGCTGTCGACGTCGAGCCCGTCGCTGCAGTCGCGGTTGAGGTAGCTCCCAAGATATTTGAAGCGGTCCACGACCGGCATGAAGCAGCCGCCGGGCAGCTTGATGTCGGACAGGTCGGCGCCGTCGTAGGTGGCGGGGTTGTTGTACGAGGTCGGCGCCGCCGCGCAGAAGAGCACCTCCGACTTCGAGTCCTTGCGAGGCTCGCCGTTGGAGCCGTCCTTGCCGACGTGGATCTCCATGCCCCAGCGAGCGAAGTGCGCGACCACCTTGGGCGTCTCGACCTCGACGCCGCGCCGAGAGCAGAAGGCGAGGCCCGCGTCGTCGGCGTACATGGAGTCTCTGAGGGAGAACTCAACATCGCCGACGGTAGACGGGCGCCGACCGGTGAGGACAAAATCGTTCTTCGAGCGGACGACGCACAGCTCGAAGTCGTGGTGGAGGCGCCACGTCTCCATGACCGCCGCCATGAAAAAGATGAACAACTCGGGGCCGAGTAGGTCGCCCTGCTTGACGCCGATAATCGAGTCGATCACCTTCTTCACGCCACCCACCTCGAACTGGACCTTGACCGTCGCATGCAGCGCCTTCAGCAGCGAGACGATCTTGGGAGGCACGCCCTGCTTCAGCATCACGCGCCAAAGCAGCTCGCGCGGTACACGGTCAAACGCCTTGACCAGGTCGATTAGCAACAGCCAGGTCTCGAGGCCGTGCTCTCGACGCTTCTTGATCAGCGTTTTGATCGAGAATATCGCGTCGAAGCAGCCACGGTTCGGCCGGAAGCCGTTTTGGTTCTCGTGATTCAGCGTTCCACCCTCCTTGATCGGTTTGAGCCGAACGAGGATGATGTTGCCAGCGATCTTGTACGCCGTCTCGAGCATCATGATCCCACGGTAGTTTCCAGGGAGGCTCAGGTCACCCTTCTTGGGCAGGATACTGAGCAGCCCCGTCTCCCACCCCTCGGGCAACTCTTCGGTCTCCCAGAAGTGTTGCACGAGATGTCTCACGAAGCCAAATCCGTCGCTCGTCGACACGAGAGCCTGCCACAGCCGTGCATGCAGGCCTGATGGGCCCGGAGCAGTAGCGTGCAGCTTGCTCGTCGCCAGCTGAATCTCGTCGTCCGACGGTACGTGGTCAAGACCAACGGCGACCGGCCTCTGTGGCAGGTCGTCGAGCACCGAGGGGTCGAAGGACGCCTCTCGACCATACAGCTGGGAGAACGCGTCGGCAAAGACGCTCGCATTCTCCTCTGGCGTGTCAGCGAGAGAGCCATCGGCCTTTTTCATCTTTGCCGGTGGTGCACGGCGCGGCGGCGCGAGGCCAGCCTTGAGCACCTTTACGGTCGCCCAGGCGGCCGCGGATCCCGTGGCGCCGCAGATGCCATCGTTGATGGCGGTGCATTTGCCGAGGATCCAATCCGACTTGGCACGCCTGATTTCGAGCTGCACGCGTGAGCGCGCCTGTCGATATCGAGCGGCAGCGTCCGCCGTCGGTTGCCGCTGATGAGCGTTGAAGGTGGCGTTGCGGTTCGCGATGGCGGCACGCAAAACGCCCTCCTTCGCCGCAAACCACAGCGGCGCAGGCCGCTCACGCTTGGGGAGCGTCTCGGCAGCGGTCTTTTCCACCGCCTTGGCCAGTGTTGAGTACGATACGGCCGAGGCGTCGGATGTGCCGAGGCTCGTCACCACATCCGTAGCGAACTGGACCGCCTGGTCCTGGTTCAGCAACGGTGCGGTGTCGAGTCGAGCGAGCTGAGCACGCGGCTCCAGTTTGCGTCGAAGCCGCACTGTGAAGCGCAGCTTGCAGAAGACAGCACTGTGGTCGCTGTCGATCAACTGTCCACAGCATGCCCCGGCGTCTGTGAATCTCTTCAAGTCGCATCGAGAGATCATGATGTGATCCAGCTGCTTCTGCAGCTTACTGCACGGGTGCAGCCACGTCCCGTAAAACGGCTTCTTGAAGAACGAGGACAGTGCAGCAAGGTCGTGCAGCTCCATAAACGAGCGCAGGCGGCGCCCAGAGTCATTGAGAAAGTCGATACCATGAGAACCGACCGCACCGTAGTTGACATTTTGGCCGCCAAGGCAGCCGCGTCCGATGCTCGCATTGGTGTCAGCACAGACAATCACAATGTCGCCGGACTGCCGTCGCGAGAGCACACAGGCGAGAGCGGTCTCATATTCGTCCTTTTCGGTGTCCGGGGCTGTCGAGATAGGCGCATACGACGCCACTTGAAACAGTCCCTGCTTCCTGCCAGCCGAATCTTCAACCTCCATACGCACTGCGATAACCCGCGGGCCTACGTCGTTGTGCACAACGGCTCCAGCTGCTCGCCACGCAGCGACAGCCAGTGGCGAGAGCAGGATGCCGACTCCTTTTGAGCCGCGTCCGTTCTGTACAGCGGGTGCAGCGCCGAGGAAGACGAAGCCGTCCTCCTCAATCTCCTCCAGGCCCGTTCTCCACGTCTCCTGCAGCCCGGCAGAGAAGCCTGAGCGGTGTCGGAGAGCGTCGATAGCCTCGGTGAGAGCGCTGTCGGTCTTGAGCCCACGTGCGTTCTGCGAGTAGATGACATGAGTTGGGATCTTCCACCGCTGCACCCTCTGTGCACGCCCGTGGTGGACGCCAGGTGCCCGGCCGCAGCCGGGCTGGAGACGAGGCCCTCGCTTTCCAGACGAGCGACACTCGTGGGGTGTAGTGGCGTTGCTGAAGCGACCAGGACCGTCAGACGGCCTCAAGTGCGCTTGCATATGGCAGCGCCACCCCCGCCGACGCGCTAGCAGCGCGCAGCCTCCATGCCGCTCAAAAGATTGTAGGGTGCCCCCGCCGCTCGGCGGCCGGCGCGGTACGTACGGCATCATGCGGATCTGGCCGCGCGCGCTGGAGCCACCCCCCTGTGGCGAGACCTGCTCGACCATCTCATCGCTGACGCCGGCAAGAAAGCGGCCGCCGAACAGCGCCGCGTCCTGACACAGGTGCAGGGTAAGCAATTTTGCGGTGTTGTGTTCCAGCGTCCCGCGTTGCCGCGCCTGCTGATGCTGTTCGTCCTTCTCGCGCTGCAGACGCTGCTGCTTGAGGCGCCGCTGCTCGTCAAGCTCCTCCCGCTGCTGCCGCTGCGCCTCGACGCGCCGCCGCTGCTCGGACTCGGTCCGGCGAAGCATGGCCGCCCAGTGCAGTGACGGTTACGGTTTCTACGTTCGTCCCTGCGAGCGCTGGCGCGAGCGCTGCTGCTTCAATGGCGTGGGTGCAGGTCCGATACTCCCAGGGTCTGACGCTGCTGTTTAATTCCGACTGCAAGGTCGCCTCTTTCTGCGATGCACTCAGGGACAGGTCCGCACCACCTCCCTCGTAACCACCACCCGCTCGTCCATCGCTGTCGCCACCTTCTGTGCCCTTTCCCAGTCACAAATGCCGCAGCATGATTGACCCTGGAAAGGTGCGGCTATACGGACCTCTCGGAGGCGATCGACCTCTTGAACGCCGACGGAGGCGGTCGACCTCCTCAGTCACCTCACTGATAGCAGACCCAGCGACACACGCTCGAGACTGATAGCAGACCCAGGTCCCAGCGATACAAGCTCGAGACAGTGACAGACAGCAACCACGGTAGGGCTCGGCGGCTGTAGGCCTAGCGGGACTCGGCGCGGTCGCTGAGGGCGAGGCGACCAGCCGCCGCGCGAGCGAGCTGCTAAAGGGAAGGGGAGTCTACACGCTCTGCAAGGTGGCCACACAACGCTACCGCCCCTGCCCTCCGCTGCCTGCCACATCTCTCCTCCGACGCTACCCCACGACCGCCTCTCGCTCTCACTTCCCCCCTGTGCTCGCCGCCAAGCTCGTGGTGGCGGAGGACGGCTCAACTGAGGCGGAGAGCCTGTGGGAGGAGCCTGAGCCCGAGCACCCGGACCACGAGGCCGAGGATCAGGGATGAGCCGGCGCGTCACACACGGGAGCCGAGAGCGTGACAGCTGCGTCCACCAAGGACGCTGACGGCGAGCGTCGCGCATCGGGGGTGTCTGACCGCGCCGGCCACAGTTGCGAGCCGGGGTCGCGCAGCAAAAGCCAAGCACTCCCGACTTCACTCCCGCCCCCCCGAAGAAAGCTTCGCCGTTCCTCACGACCGAGTGCGTTCCTTGCCAATTATCTTTTTCTTTCTGAGGCCTTACCACGAAACAGATTCGCAAATAACTAAATCCGCGGCATGGGGAACTGTGACGGACCTGTGTCGATCCTTGGGTTCCGGCTCCTAGCCAGATAGGGGGTCTGTTCACCATGACTCGCGCCACCAAAACGCCCTCCTACCTACCTACCAGCTACCTATCCTCAGGCCGCGCAGCGAAGCGAAAAAAGACGAAAATAGGGGGTACCTACCTGTTGTAGGGCCCTCTGGGGCGGTCAAAACCGGACCTACCTACCTATTGCATGGGTGTCACCGTGGTCAACAGACCCCCTTGCTATCTGGCTAGGAGCCGCCCGGAACCCTGTTGATGAACACTCTGTTGTGCTGTATGAGAGAGTCGCTTTCGTTGAATTCTTTTTGGAGACCTTTCGTATATAAGTAAATGCACACTTTCTTTCTATACCTGTCTATCTATCATGCTTGACACAGCTAGATTGCTGTACATGCGCAAAGTCGCGAGGGAGAGGGGGCGCGGGAGCGGTCCGGGGCGGTGCCCGGGTGCCGTGGCGGCGCGCCCGTGCCCGCGAGCGTGTAGGATGCGTCTGGCGGTGTGTGCACTTGGAGCACTTGGAGCAACCACGAGAGTTCTTTTTCATTCAATACCCGTAATATACTCCCACCCCACGCCCTGCCGCATAGCTCTCCCCCGCCGCTGTGTACTCCGCCCAGGGGCTGCGGCCGCATACGCCATAAAACACTCAACTCACAACAAGGGGGGGCGCGGACAGCGCGGCCGCCGCCGCCCGTCAGCCAACGATGGCGGGCGGCCCGGATGGCCTGCGGCGAGGCGTGCGCCCCGCGCGCCGACTCGACGCCCACGTACCAGGGGCCCATGCGCCATGGGAAGGGGTGCGGGAAAGGGAGGGTCCATAGTCCAAAGGGGGGGGGGGGGGGTACGTTGAGTGGCTCCGCTCAGTGGCCCCGCCCGCCGCGCAGCGCAAGCACGAGGTGGAGGACGGAGCCGCCCTCGATGTTGTACTCGCTCGCCTGGTGCCAGGCCCGCTCGGGTCGTCTCTTTTCGGGTGTTTCCTCCGGCCGTTCCTCTGGGTGTGTCTTGTGGGTGTGCCTGCCGCCTCCGCCGCGCCGCGCCACGGGCGCAAGGCCGGAAGGAGTGCGCGGGAGTGGGACAGAGGGAGGGCGAGGAGAGGAGGCGTCTCTCCCGCCCCGCCGTGTTGGCGCGCGGAACAGTAGGGCGGCGGCCAGGCGGGCAGCGAGGCGGCGGGCAGGGCGGGTTGCGAGGTGTGCACAGACGGGTAGGAGGGTGCGGGTGCGGCGCGGATGGCGGGCTCACTGAGGAAGGTGAGCCGTGTATAAGTCTGCGCCGGCGCGTGGGTGGGGTGGCGGGGAGGTGCGAGTTTAGGGGCGCCGCCCGCCTTCTTGTCGTCGTTCATCTGCTTGCCTCCAAAGATGAGGCGCTGCTGCGGGGGAGGGATGCCCTCCTTCTCCTCGACGCGCTCCTACGTGCGGAGGAGGGCGGCGCACGTCTCGAGGGCACAGCCGGGCGACCGCGGGCGCGCAATGGTGAGCACCACCCCACTTTCCGAGACATGTGGTGCGCGGACCGCGGCTGGCGGCGCCGCAACCGGGAAGGGAGGAGGGGAGGCGTGCGTGCCGCGCCTTGATCCTCGAGATGGTGTCATCCGTCTCGATGTCAATCTCAATCTCCTTACCTGTCAGCGTCTTGACCTTGATCTGCACGCGCCATCGGGGAGGGAGTGTCGGCGCAAGGCCGCGGCGCAACGCGGGAGCGGTCAGGCGGGCGGAACGGGCGGCGCACGTTCATGGCAGCTCCTCGCAACGAATGGGCCTGGGGAACAGGCACCACCTAGACTCGCGCGAGGCGGGAGGGGTGAGCGAGAAGGAGGCGGCGCGGCGTGGCAAGGCGCGCGCGGGAGCCTGAGGAACAAGCCTGCGAAAAGAATTTTGGCCTGCGGCCAGGTGCCGCGCAATTCTCGAGGCTCCTCCCTCGCTCGCGGCGGGGCGAGGGCGAGCTGATTCCCCGGGTGATATGTGATTATGTGTGCCATGTTTGTAGTTTGTTAGACACTTAGTTTTTCTGAAAAAATGACGTGTCACCATACGTACACTTACCCGGGGATCTTACCCGCCATATATCCGTTCCACCCCGCCACCGCTCGCGAGCAGCAGCACGACCTGTCCCTGCACCGGCGGCGAGCAATGAGGGCACGTCTTGAACTCTGGCTGCCGCCAGTGCGGGTGTCCGGACGGATGGAGGAAATTGTTGGGATCGCCAAAGGCGTAGCCGCCCGCGGTGAACGCGGCGCAGCCAGCCTTGAACGCGGACTTGACGAGGTCGAGGCCGCTGCTTGCATCACGGCCGGCGCCCGCCCACAGGTACAGGCGCAAGCATTTTGGAGCCACGGGGGAAGGCGCCGCATCCAGCTCCACCATCTTGTTCATGAAGCCAACCAGGAAGGCGCGGGCCGCCGTGTCCTACAGGCACGGCACGAAGCCCTCAGCACACAGCTCCTCTTTGGTCCGTGTGCGCGGCTGTCCATGGCTCCTCGGTCAGAGTCGACCAGCACACTAGCGCGACGCGCGGGAGGGCGCGCACGAGCATCTCGCCAATCTCGAGCGAGCAGCAAGAGTTGAGCACGATGCAGGCGAGCCGCGAGAGAGCGAGGAGCGGCTCCGCCTCCGACGCCGCGGAGCCGTCTGCTGGCAACGGAAGGAGGCCGCGCAGGAGGCTGCGCTCGGATCCTGTGCTGGTGAGGCTGCGCTCGGCCGACGGACTACTCGACGCGCGCTCGGAGGTGGTCGCGAACTCCAGAGCCGCGCGCTCCATCCACGCGCGCGAGCAGTGCGCCATCTCGAGGCCTGCGGCCTGCTGCGCCTGCAAGTGCGCCTCGACGGCGGCGGAGAGATCGGACGGCGGCGACGAGGAGCGTCGATCGAGGCTGAGCAGCATAGCGATTAGGATCTGCGAGGTGACGACGGGGTCGTAGCGTCCGTCCGGCGTCTCGAAGCAGAGGTGAGGGCTCTGCCCAACATGCGAGGTGTGACCCGAGAAGACGACGATCCGTGGACGGTTTTGCACGAGGGCGCGACGAGCCGTGTACAACGAAGCGGCTGGCTCGACGTGCAGCAGGTAGCGTGGCAGCGCTCGCATAATGAACTTCATATCCTGACCAAACGAGAGCGGCCGCATGCCGAAGCTTCGCGGCAGCTTGGGGTTGCAGAAGAGTGCGACAAAGTCAGCACGGGTCCACTCGGCGTTTAGCTGCCGTCGCCGCCGCCACCGCAGCCGGGAAAGCGCGACGATGTAGCCGAGCCCGACGCCCGACAGCAGTGCGGCGATGTGTCTCGCAGCCGTACGCGTCGTCGACATCGCCAGCGTGCAGCTCAGCCGGCGATGGAAGCTCAGCGGCGATGAGGAGGTGAGGCGGGTCGCAAAGAAAAGAATTTTAGCTACCCAGCACTGGGCACGGGATTTGTAAACGGGAAAGAAGACACTGATCGCACCCATCCCTTCCATGGGTTGCCCGTTTTATTTCTTTCTTTCTGAGGACGGCACGCCGCCACCACACAGGGATTTTAAGGAGAGGGGTGTGATGCGCTAGCCCTCCCCCTCCCTAGGGCGTCCGCCTCTTCCTATCTCTCTTCGCAGTCCCTCGCTAATTCTCGCTGCAACCTGAGGAGGGTCGCAGAGTCGCAACGACAGGTCGGACATTTTTTTCTGCTTCGCACCTCTACAAGAAAAAATAACCAAAATCGGAAAGCTTCTCACTGTTACAACCGGCAGACGTGCCAGTCGCTTTGCGGAGTAGTTTCCTTTCATTCACGAAGGTAGGGCTCGTCCCGTCACGCTCGCTCCTGAACTGTCAGTGCGGCAAAGCACGAGGTCAAAGCATGGGCTCTGTCTGCTCGAGGAACTGAGATCCTCAAATCGCTCAAGAGGACGCCTACCTCCACGCCTCCTGTCAGTGAATCGGGGAGATCTCGAAACAACTCCGCCGACCTTTGTGACGCCCTGCCGACGCTCGACACACCCGCCATTATCACTGTGCAGTCCTGCTGGCGCGGATATAGGGCACGGGCAACGCAAAAGGACGCAAGGCCACGCTTGAGCGCTTCCCCGAGCTTCGAGCCTTCCACCCGTCCATACCGACGCCGGCGGAGGAGGAGTATCGTGCGCTGAGGCGGCAGGCGCATCTCCCACCTCAGTGCGGAAGACGAGCGCTCTCTCGCCACCGCTGCGGCGGCGCGGTGGCTGCGGTCGCTGGGCGGACCCAACTGTGGACGGGCCGACGCTGTGGCTCGTCCATGCTGACGGTTTCCTCCACCGGCGACAAGGCTGGGCTGGAGCCGGAGGCGCAGGAAGAGCAGGCGGCGGCGTCAGAGCAGGTGGCAAATGTGCTACGAGTTAGCGGAAGCATGCAACCTCGAAACACGCAACCTCGACACCTCGACAACGTCGACGCGCCTCCCTCCCCGGGAAGCTCCGGGCGCTGCTCATGCACAATTACGGAAGCCGAGCAAGGTCGTCTCGTCCGAGTGAGCATATTGATGCTCTCGGATGGCGGCGCGCGCCCCCCTGAGGCTGCACCTTCGCCTCCGACTCCGCCGCTGGGCCCCGTCCTGCTGCGGCAATCGCGCCAAGAGTCTGGAGGAGAGCTCGGTCAGTTGAAGAAGGCGCGCCGAGGCGGCGCCAAGGCCGGCGCCTTGCACCCGGCCCGCGGCCGGCTCCGCCTCGCCCCACCACTGACTGCCCTATGGCTTCTGCGCAGACGTTCAATGCCGTTCGCGTCGGGTGTTGGCTGCTCTCTTGCCTCGTCACCCGCCGGCCATCGCCCGTCCGCCTCGCCGCGCGCGGACCACTCGCGTGCTCGCCGCCGCCGCCGCGCTTCCCCGCGCCGCCACGCTTGCCTCCTCACGCGCGAGCCTATCGAGGGCGTGCGCGCTGGCGGCGCGCTCCGGCGCAGACGGAGCAGCGACCGCGCGCGCAGCGGTCGCTGCTCCGCCCCTCCGTTGCGTGCGCCCGCTGCTGCCTCCGCTGCTACCCCCGACGCCCCCCCCTTTCCTTCCCCGGTACGTCTCCCGAGAGTAATGTGGCAATGCGCGCGCGCCCAGGAGCGTGCATGGCGCCGATTCCCATCCCTGTCCGCACACGGAGCAGCGACCGCTGCTCCGCCCCTCCGTCGCGCGCGTCCGCTGCCGCCTCCGCCGCCCCCGCTGCTACCGCTGCCGCCCCCACCCCTTCCCCGGTGCGTCTCGTGTGGACTTCTGAGAGTAATTCGTCCGTGTAATGGTGTAAACTGTAATGTGTCGTGTCGCAGGCGCGGACAATGCACGCCCAGGTGTTTGTGCATGGCGCCGATCCCCATCTTTGTCCGCACTGCTATCTGTGTTCATTGTCCACAAAAGGCCACCAGCCCGGCGTGCTGGCCCCCCATTATGGCGTAAGCTTGAATCCTCACCACACGGCGGGGGCGCGAGAACCTCCCGACGCGCCCCCTTCCCCTGCAGTTCGCCGAGTTCCCGCAGACGGCCAGTAATCCGCGCGGAGGCGGCCACTAGGAGGGAGACCGACCCCCACGGCACGCATCACCGCGCTCGACAGCGACATCTCTCTGGCCGGCGGCTTGGTGGAGCCGAGATTGTCGAGAGATGAGCCTCGATCGATTGTAGAGGAACGAAGCAGAGCTGCGGTCGGCGACACTCGACGAGAGGCGCTGACCGCAGCTCTGGAAAGTCAGCTTTAGGGCTGCCGACCGGCGGTCTCGATCGTGGGGTGTATGTACTCAGAGAGGGAGATCTCGGCGGGGCGCTGTTCGAACGCGCTCCTCGGCATAGTCTGCCGAGTCGCTGACGAGCGCGGTGCTCGTGCCGGAGGGGTCGAGATCCATCCTGGCGACCACCGGGGCCCAGCTGCGCGGCGCGCTGGCCGCGCGGGGTCTGCTCCAAAAGCTCCATGCACATGTCGAGGTTTTTAGGTTGTCGGCGAGGTTGCGCCCGACCACAACGGATAGGCCTTGCAGGCGCACGCTGCATCATCGCTCTCAGCGCTCTCGACGCTGTCGACACCCTCATCCGAGGGAGAGAACAGCCGGTAGACTGCACGTGTGAGTTCCGGTGAGCACAGGGGAGCTCTGGCGCAAAGGCCCCGTCCACCCAGACCTATAGAGCGCGCTGACCGGACCCCCCGCGAGCGCGCTGACTGGGAGCGTGTGTCATGTACACGCACTCATCATCCCTAGCAGACTCATCCCTACGGCTCTATCGATAGGATATCGTGTCCGTCTCACCACATTGATAGAATCGTCCGTCAGAGTCACCGGGCGGGGGGCGCGCCTCAGCGCGCGTCTGGCCGAAGGCTCATCCAGCCATATCTCGTGGTGTGTGCACTGTACAGTGTGGTTTCTCTTCATCTACATCGATGTAGGTCACGAGGCCCCGCCGTGCAGGGCGCTACGGGCTCCACGGCCGGACGCAGCGCTCTCCCCCCCGTAAGCGATATTACGCGCCATTGTGTTAAAACCATCTCAGTGTAAAGTTCTCTCTTTTAGCACAGACAAAGTGGGGCCGCCTTGTGTGCTTCTCTGGGGGCGCACCCCGAATCGGGGAGGATGCAGTGTGTGGGGCGGCGGGCCGATGTGCAGAGGTGCGTGTGCGGGAACACACCGGATGCCCCGACTGAGGAGACAGGAGTGTGTAGAGTGTACGAATGAGATTGGCCGAGGATGGTGTGTCAAGGCCGTGCCTCGCTCGCCCGCCCGCCCGCACTCTGTGACGCTAATCGACTGGGCGGCGAGCCCTTCAGGCAGCGGGGGGAACCTCGCCCACCGCCCCGTCGCCGTTGATGTCGATGCCCGTCGCGCTCTCGTCGCCCTCGGCCAAGTCGGAGGCCGCCGGCTTTGGCCTGTCCTTCTCGTGGGTCACCAGCAGGCTCTTGACGAGGGTGACCTGCCCGCGGCACGAGAGGGGAAGGGCGTCAGCTCTCCGCACGCCCCGTCCCGCCCGTGCCGGCAGAGGCGTGGGACGCGGGGGGTGCGACTCAGCTCTCTCGGCCGAACGGCGCACCCCGTCCTTTGCGCGCTGCAGCTGCTCCATCGGCGGCGCGCTTGCGTCGGTCGGCAGCAGCACCGGTGCGAAGATGACGGCGAGGTTGTCCGCCTGGGAGGGGGAGGAGAGGAGGGGAGGGAGGGGGAGGAGAGGAGGGAGGTGTCTCTGGGTGCGCCAGGCCCGCGCCCGCCGCCGGGCACGCTGCTTCGCACCCCCATCTTCGAGGTGCTCTGCTGGGCCGCCGCCTCGCACAGCAGGTCGAGCAGCCAGTACAGCGTGTCGCGCTGCGTCTCGGGCATCGCGTTTTTGAGGATCATCTTGATCGGCATCCCGACCTGTGCACGGCGGCAGGCGTGACGGGTGCCCCTCCCTCGAAGTCCACCCTCCCCCCCCACGGCCAAGGCCAGCCTTTGCGGCCGCGATCAGCTCCCGCTCCAACTCGCGCCCCGCGTCCGCCGCCTGCGCGCCCTTCTTGCTGCTCTTCTTCGCCTTTGCGGCGGCCGCGTCGCCGCCGGTCCACATCACGCCGCCGGGCAGCTCAGCGAACCACGCCTGCGGGAGGGGCGGGCGGGGCGGGAGCAGGGCGGGAGCAGGTCGAGAGCAGGTCGAGAGCAGGTAGAGAGGGGGCGGTCACGGACCGCGCGGGTAGGCGGTCGGGAGGGGGTGGAGAGGGTGGGAGGGTGGAGAGGGGAGGGAGGGTGGGGAGGGTGGGGGGGGAGAGCAAGGGAGGGTGGGGAGGGTGGGGGAGGGAGAGCAAGGGAGGGCGGCGGAGGGAGGGGGGGTGGGCCTTGATGAGCGTGCTCACGGCGTGGCAGGAGCAACCCTCGAGCACGGCGTCCGGGTCCTCGCCCGACTCGAGCCGCTTGCCTACAGGACGAGTCTCGGAAGAGTCTCCTATATGAGGAGGAGTCCGCTTGCCGAGGAGACTCGAGCCGCTTGCCTACAGGACGAGTCTCGGAAGAGTCTCCTATATGAGGAGGAGTCCGCTTGCCGAGGAGACTCGAGCCGCTTGCCTACAGGACGAGTCTCGGAAGAGTCTCCTATATGAGGAGGAGTCCGCTTGCCGAGGAGACTCGAGCCGCTTGCCTACAGGACGAGTCTCGGAAGAGTCTCCTATGAGGAGGAGCCGCTTGCCGAGGAGACTCGAGCCGCTTGCCTACAGGACGAGTCTCGGAAGAGTCTCCTATATGAGGAGGAGCCGCTTGCCGAGGAGACTCGAGCCGCTTGCCTACAGGACGAGTCTCGGAAGAGTCTCCTATATGAGGAGGAGCCGCTTGCCGAGGAGACTCGAGCCGCTTGCCTACAGGACGAGAGCCTCGCAGCCGTCACGGTACCGTCTCGGAAGTGACGTCGCGCCCGGCTCGAGCCGCTCGCGTATGAAGGAGAGCTTGCCCGCCGCCTCGGCGGTACGGAAGATCCCCTCCTCCTGCTCACCCAGGCAGCGGGGACGTGAGCGGCATATCTTTGTATATAGGCGCTGCCTCCCTCCTCGCTACGCCGTTCGGTCCCCCTTTAGCCCCCGGGTGCTACCTTGGGCCGTGATCGAGGGAAGTGGAGGAGCAAGCCGGAGGGGTATAGCGGGGGTCCGCGCTAGCCCGCCCTCCTGCATCCCGTCGCTCTCGTCGAGAGCGCGCCGAAGCGCGGCGAGAAGCTTCGGCACTTTCCGCTCGCTCCTCCACTCCGCTACCCGATCGACCTGCGACAAGGGAGAGAAAGAGGCACGGCCGGAGCCGAGGGCTGGTGGGCGCACTCCCGCCGTTGGGCGCTCGTTCCGGTGCACGCTCCCGCCTCGGCACTGACAAGGAGGACCCCTTCCGGCCGCGTCTCTCTCCGCTCTCTCCCGCTCTCTGCTCACCTCTGTCGGCTGCTCTGCCAGAGGCACTCCAAACCAGGAGACGGCGAGGCCAGCCTTGGCCTGCGCGCCGCTGCGCTGCGCGCCGCTCGGCTGGCCCTTGGCCCGCTGCATCCCAGAGCGCTGCCCACTCGGCTGCGAGTACTCCGAGTTGTCGCTCGAGATGGTCATGTGCTTCATGTACCTGAGCCGAGCGGTGGTCGCGAGGGACGGTCGGCGGGTCGTAAACAGAGGCGCCGGCTCCATCGACCGTTGCAGCACTGAAGGAGGTGGGGTGGCCAGAATGATCTTACAAGGCGAGTGTGTCTACGACTCGTCTCGTCTCGAGAACACACATCGTCGCATCATTGCCCTCATCAGAAGGCAGCGGCGCCGGGCTCTGGTCTCGCGAAGCAGAGCCGCCGATCACTCGTCCCAGCGCCGCCTTCATTGCAGCTGCCGTCGTCGAGAGCCGCGCACTCGCACAAGAACCGTCCGATATCGAGGGCTGGCAAGCCGCCGCCGAGCGGGCGAGGTTTTTTTCCCGCATTGACTGTTACGAGGGTCGATTGGCTTCAACACACCTACATTCCCGGAGGAGGAGGACTGCAACAGGGTTTGCGATGAGGCGCGATACGAAGGGTTTCTCGCGGAGGTTAACAAAACAAATCTCTCTCTCTCGGAGGTTAGTGCACCACACTGAACGCCGAAGCGCAAGCACTTGGAGCAAGAACACTACGCCCTGGGTTTTTCTTTTGCAGTTTTTTTGTTTTTTTTGAGCTTAGCCTTAAAGAAAGAAAGAAAACAGACAACCCAAGGGAGGGATGGGAGGACGGCACGCCGCCACCACACAGGGATTTTAAGGAGAGGTGTGTGGTGCGCTAGCCGTCGCCCACCCTAGGGAGTCTGCCTCTTCCTATCTCTCTTCGCAGTCTCTCGCCGCTTCTCGCTGCAACCTTCATGCCACCTCGCGGTCGTCCCACTCTCGTCGTTCTCTCCCTTGTCATTTCCTCCTCTGTCGCGTCGTTCTCTTCTGCCTCGTCCTGTGACGCCGCCGCCTGCCGGTCCCTTGTTCTCGCGGCTTCTTTCGCCTTTCGGCGCAACTCCTTGTTTGTTCTTCTGGTGCCTTGGAGTGCTGGGGGGGGCGACAGGGAGGATGTGGCCCTGAGTTATGTGTACGCCTACTCAGGGTGTGTGGCAGCCAGCTGGCTGTGTGTCTTGGGAGCCTGTTTGTGTCTGTGTGTCGCTCGTGCGTGTCGTCATCATCTGTCTAGCGTCCACCCATACCGCGTTGGTGTCCAGTCCGAGCCTGGCTGTTCTTCACCTTTCTACCTACCTACCTGCAACTCCGTCCTCCTCGCGGCGTATCCTGGCCCCTCGAGTCTATCGAGCTCCCCTCGCGCAAGGACCACATTTCTGATTCCCACTCCGTGAGCTTAGCCTTCGATTATGAAACAACGCAATCGCGGTTTTTTTGTTCAGGCATAACACACGTGTGTGTATGGGATCGCCACCACCCACATTGCAGGAGACGCAGGAGTTGCTTGTCGTCGGGAAGGACCGTGGCCCCACCCTTCTCTCAAGGCACGGGGTTCCGCTCGCCGCTGCGATCGCGTATGGTACTGCATCGGTGGTCGCGACGCTCAGCAACAAGGCGTTGCTCTCGTCATGGCAGTTTGACTGCATATTCTCTCTCATCCTCCTGCAGAATGCGCTCACCGCGCTGCTTCTTCATCTAGCCGCACAGACGCGCTACCGCCAGCCGCTGCGGCTCAACTTTGCCCTCGACGGCGAGAGTGCGTTCCGGCTGGTTGCACCTGTCAGCGTCCTCTCGCTGCTCAACGTGCTCTGCGGCATGTGGGCGCTGAAGCTTTCGTCCGTGCCGATCTATCAGACGCTTAAGCGCATGTCGCCCCTGCCGGCCATGCTGCTGGATGCCCTGTTGCGCCGCAAGGCCTTCAGCTTGCGGATCCGCGTGTCCGTCCTCACCGTGTGTGCGGGCGCCTTTGTCGCTGGCTGCGGCGACCTCGACCGCAACGTGCTCGGCTACCTCCTCGCGGCGGCGTCGTGCGTGCTGCAGGCCCTCTACCTCGTCCTCGCAGCTCGCGCTGACGACGAGCTCGCCCTGGGTGCCCAGGGGCTGCTCTACTACTCCTCGCTCCTCGCCCTGCCGCTTCTCGTCGCGCCGGCCGTGCTCCTCGGCGAGGCCTCGAGGCTGGCTGCGTACGACCACTGGCGCGAGCCTGCCTTTGGCGCGACGCTCGCCCTCACGCTGGCCATCGGCGCGTCGCTCCAGCTGCTGCTCTTTTGGTGCACGCTTGTGACGAGCGCCGTGACCACGCTCATCGTCGGCAACCTGAAGGCTGTCACGACGACGCTGCTCGGCTTCTGGCTCTTCGGGCGCGTGCGGCTGCAGTGGTTTGGGCTCGCAGGCGTCCTCATCAACACGCTCGGAGGCATCCTGTACTCTGTCTTCAAGTTCCGAGAGTCGAACAACAGCAGGGCGGGGTGAGTACCCGCCTCGTTTTAAAAATGGTATACTACGTGTTTAAGTGTTCAGCCTGAACAGTTCTCCTAGCCGGCGCGAAACTAACTAACACAGAGGCACGCGGTGTATGTGCGTGCTGCACTCTAGACAACGATCCCCGGCCTTACCCGCCTGCTCTCTCTGGCCTGCATCCACTAGGCCTAAGCTGTGCTAGTTTGCCTCAGGGCTAAACGAGATGCCGCACGCCCGCTCCGAAAACTCCCATAGCACGGCCGCCTTTGCAGCGTCCGCCGCGAAGCCCCACGGCCGCACCTTGGCAGGTGAGGGGCGGCGGTGAGAGGGCGGTAAGGGCGGCGGCGAGGGCGGCGAGGGCGGCGGCGAGGGTGGCGTCGAGGGGGGCGGCAAAGAGAGGGGAGGGGAGGCGGAGCGGCTCTGCAGGGAGGGCGAGAGGCCTCGGCGGGAGGCGCCCACCTTTGCCGGCGGGCCGCGCAGCCCGAGGTCGTGGAAGCCGAAAGGGTTGTGGCGAGGGCCGTAGTAGTCGCCGCTTCGGGCGCCGGGGCTCGTGGCGGCGACGAGGAGGGGCGCGCTCGCATCGGGCACAGAGTGCGCGAGCCCCGAAGCGTAGTCCACCCAGCAGCGCAAGAACGGGTTGCGAGCCGCGCTGCTCTGAATCATCGGCGTGAGAGCAGAGCCGGGATGCGCCGCCACCACGATCACACCGCCGCCGCCACCACCGCCGCCGCCGCTCCCGCCGCCGCCGCCGCCGCCGCCGCCGTCGCTGCTGCCGCCCTCGCTACCGCTGCTGTCGCCGCCGCCGCCGTCGCCGCCGTCGCTCTGCGGCAGCCGGGACGCGGCGTCGAGCCGGCGGCGCAGCTCGACGGCAAAGAGCATCTGAGCGAGCTTGGAGGCGGCGTAGCGGCGCCAGGCGCCGTATGGGAGGGGAAGGAGGTAGCGGCAGGACGCGCGGTGCGGCGTCTCGTCCTCAAAGTACCCGGCGGCGTGGCCGAGCGACGAGTGCACCACGACCCTCGCACCCTGAGTGTTGCGGAGCAGCGGCCAGAGCTCGGCACAGAGGAGAAAGTGGCCGAGGTGATTGACCTGAAACTCGAGCGGCCAGCCGTCCTCGGTGAGCTCGGCCGAGGCACCGCCGCCGAGGATGCCCGCGTTGCACACGAGCAGGTCGAGAGACGACTCCTGTCGGCGGAGCCTCGAAGCAAACCGGCGCACCGAGGCGAGCGAGGCGAGGTCGAGCTCCTCACAAGCGAGGCTGGCGGCGGCGCCCTTCGACTTGAGGTCCGCCGCGATCCGGTCCCGTGCGCTTGTTGCACGCTCCGCGTTGCGGCACGCTAATATGACTCTGGCGCCCTTCAGCGCTAGCGAGCGAGCCAGCCAGAAGCCGAGCCCAGAGTTTGCTCCCGTGACGACTGCAAGGCGACCAGTTTGGTCGGGCGCCTCGTCGAGAGCCTCTTTGTAAACGGCGGCGTCGATGAGCGGGTCCGGCGTCGACGACTTGCTCCTGGAGGAGGACCAAGAGTGCATCGGGCCTGTACCCTTGACGCTCGTTTTTTCTTTTTTTCTACCTCCCCCTTGACCACAAAACTCCCAAAGATCCGAAAGTGTAGCATCTACGATCTAGCAAGAACTACTGGTCCGTTCACACATCAAGCACGCTCGCGACGGATCGCGTTACGTCGCGCGTTTTTTTTCTGGGTGAGAACGGAGTTCTCTGGGTAAGCTCAGCTGTCTGTGAACTTCCCAGTTGTTTGCTCTTGTACTTACTTGTTCCGCGTTCTTAGCTCCCCGGCCCTGGATGTGAGGTTGCCAACTGCACTCCAAGTGCTCCAAGTGCGTTCCGGAGGCAACCCAATTTCTTCTCTTTCTCTTCTCGCATCACAGCTCGCCCTTGTCCTGCTCGTGCCGGCTGCCCGCGGCCCACGCCTCGGCTAGCCCGGGCGTCGCCTCGCCCAACCGCGCCCAAAAGGCCTCGACTGTCTCCTCCGCCCACCCGGCAGGGTCGCCGCGCGGGAACGGCGCCCGTACCTCGTGCGCCGCCTCCTCGAGCGAGCGCGCCCGCCGGCCCGCCGTCGCGTAGAAGGCGCCGCGCGCGCCCGACAGCGCGGCGAGGGCGATGGGGAGGGCGCCGTCGGCCGCGTGGTGGGCGGCGGCGTCGTGCTGCGCGCCTACCGACATGTCGGTACAAGGTGTACACCTGCACCTTCCGAGTTCCGTAGCGTGGAAGGGGAGTGACAGCTTGGGATGGCAACAGAACGAGTATCTCGCACTCCATGACCATGTGCAAGAACGCAGAGAGAAATGAAAGCCGTCCGGCTCACAAGTCCGGCTCACGCGCCCCGAGCTTACCATCTACTCGAGTACCGCACTGAACACTTTCGCCCCCTCGCTCCCAACCTGCTCCCAACCCATCCACCTCGGTCCTCGCCTCGGGCCGCGCCGCGCGATCTCGGTCGATCTCGCGCAATCTCGGGCGATCTCGGGGCCGCGCCGCGCTATCTCGGGCGATCTCGGAGCGTCGCTCGCGCGGCGGCACACCTGCTCAAAAAAGGAAGGGCCCGGTTCGTTGGAGCCACGGGGCTCACGCACTCGCTCAGGGCGCCGCCTCACTCTGCGCCACTTTTGAGGCGTTGGCGAAGGCCGGTGAGGCGGCGCCCCGCGCGCGGCGCGTTCATCGCCCTCCACGCCGACCCCTGCGCGCAACGCTCATCTTGGCCCTCCTGGGGTTACTCTCGCGCTCGCGCAGGACCCGGGGGACTCCCTTCCCCCCACCTCCGACGGGTTAGGTCGGTTCTGCGCCCCTTGGCGCCTGTGCATGTCCCGCGTGCCCGCCCGCCAAGGCTGGTGCCAAGGCCAATTCAACTGCCAAGGCTGGTGCCAGGGCCAACTCAACTGCCTGGCTGGTGCCAAGGCTCAAAGGCTCTCCTCTCTCTCTCTCACTCTCTCCTCCCTCTCCACTCTCTCCACTTTCTCCCTCTCTCTCCCCTGAGACTCTCTCTGCTCGCTCTGCCCTCTCTCTCCCTCCCTCCCTCCCTCGCGCTGAGCACAGATTAACCGAGTCGTCGAGGGCGCCCACGCTGATCGCCGTGACGCCGCCTTCCGGCGTGTTGGAGAAGGCGAGGTGCGTCTCGGCAAAGACGTGGTCCCTGAGCCCGGTGAGGCCCCGCTTCTGGAGGAACTTGATGTGCAGCGTCCGGTTCTCGGCATCGTCCGGTCCCTCCTCCCAGGAGAACTGAAATATGTTGCCGAAGGTCGGAGTCGGGCCCTTTTTCGTGGAGGACTTGAGTACGACCGACTTTCCGGCCACCTCCAACTTGACATAGGTGTCGCCTGTGACGCTCTCGTCGTACGTGGCGCTGAGCAGCTCGATGTGGAAGGCGCCTTGCTTGCGCGTGAAGAAGTAGTGTGAGCCTGCGGTGTACATGAGATTCTTACCCGACCCCCACAGCGAGCAGATGGAGGCCATCGAGCGAATCATCGCCAGGCCGTCGGCGGCGTTCAGCACCGCCGGACAC